TATAATTGCAAAAATAAAAGCTGTTTTATTCGCTGAATATTATGATCAGTACTACATTTTGGGTTTATTCACATACTTTTGCTTATTGTGCGCATTCTGTGTATTTCCGTGGCTCAGAATTTTTCGTAAATTTCAATACAGGCGTAACAGTGCAATTAAAAATGAGTAAATAATTTTATTTACAGTTGACAGATTAAGCAACGAGTAGAATTCGATTTTAGCGTACGCCAATTCTGGTAAACTTTGATCGCAAAGAAACTCCGGAACGCGCACTTGGATATTCGCGAAAAACTCAACGCTGAGAAGTCTCGAACCGGGGTTTAATAAGGCATCGAATGCCCGATAAAGGGAAATTTAAAGAAGAAAGCGTTGTTTGCACGGTCCATTTCAGAGGCTGCTCGAAAACGGCAGAAGTTCTTCTCGCGCGATCGTTACGCCGGCTTCACCGAATTTGTGAATGGGAACGAAGGCTCTCGAAGCGAAGTAACAACGGCGTCGTTGACACGAATCGCTGCCAAGTGTCATCGAACACTCGCGGACTCGCGAAGTTCCGCCTAATACCATAGCTAGCGTTCGACAGCGCCTCAACGGCAAAAAGGAACTCTCTCTTTTTCGCCACTTTACGAAATTACAAACGACGAGGGAGAGAGAGAAAATAAAGGTAACACATATTTGAAAGTGTTTTCAGGAGAACGGCACAATGGCGGCTGATCAAAAGGAGCCGCCGTCAAAAGCGCGATTTTCCACCAACGAAAATGTGTAAACGAGCGTTCGCGAGATTGAATGGAACGGAGGTTCCTTCAAACGTGTCGGTAAAAAAAGAGCGGACTGGAGAGTTACGATTTAATTTGAACGCTCAAAAGGTTGCACGAGCTGGAAGATATAAAAATGTATAGAGTGAATGCGGGTAATTTCGTTTACCAAAATTTTGGTCCTCCGTTGAAGGGTGGTTGATATTTTTCTGTTTAATTAGTCTCAGGTGAAAGAGAAATTTGTGTTAGAGCCGTTGAAATCTAAAGATCGCTGATTGAAGATATAGACTAATATCTATAAATTCTAAGTTCATCTTGCAACACATCGGCTGCAGCAAAAAGAAAATTTAGCAAAGTGGCCATCGTTCGAAAACACGTGAAACAATGCGTTTAATTAAATCACTTAACGAATCTATCTAACGAACTCCAAACTTGTTACCTAAAAATTCCTCCCAAAATTTCAAGTACCTTACTAAACTCGTCCATAACTCTTCTAAAATTGTCGCAAGGACTCGAGTAAAATGATCGACCGTAATTTTCCCCCGGGAAAACCGATGATTCTTCCGGCCGATAAAAAAAACTGATAAATAACATCTATTACATGGAAATGCATGGCGGTGATTTTTCACGGCGGGGGAGGGAAAAAAGTGAGATACCAGGGGGAACACGCTCGAGCACCCGGCGGAGGAAAATTATTACAAGAAGAGAACGCGTGGTGGTTGACGCGGCTGGTGCGCGTTAAGTGATTCGAAATCATTTTTCACGCTAACTCTTCCGCTATGAAAACATCGATAACGCCTGTCCGCGACGGGTATTTCGTCAACGACGCCGAGCAGAAAGGCCTGTCGTCGCGGGTCAAAGGCGAAAAAACGTCAGACAGCATGTGGGGAAGGCTGCACAATCTCGCGGCGGAATCACGGACGGTTGTCTCGAGCTGACAGAATTAGACGTTTTATACACGGGGGAAAAAAATAGAAAATCCTCGGTTTTCATGCAACTTGCATGATTCGAAAATACAGAACGATACACAGGCACACACACACACTTCTGTATACACGCAACATGTATAATTTATATCTGAAACCGGAGGAGAGGATGGTGGATCGCGCGTCGTTTTATTGTTGTTTGCTCGTTTCGTTTAGAGAAAAAGCCGAGAGGTCAAGAAGCATGCTATTTTTAGCAAGGTTGATAGGAGAACTGTTGGAATTTGTGTTTAAAAAACAGTAGGCCAGTAGAGGAAGTTTAATAAAGAATAACAGCGCAAATTCATTCTCCACCGTGAGGGAGAACGGGCAGAGAAAAAGAAGAATGGAAGAAGAAGAAGAAGGGGAATTACCAGGATGAATAATGGATTTTCAAGAGCACACGCAAGATGGTCCACGTGAATTTCTGATATCTTCTGTATCTCGTGTTAACGGAGCGATTTTTTTTTTTTCACGTTGCCACCGCGATAAAGATAACTCCGTATACCGTTCAACGTCCTCTTTATTTCCAATCGTTCGCCCAACCGTCTGAGACTTGAACGTGGCCGATACAAGAGATACTCCTTTGATGTACGATCGACTGGTAAATTTATGCGTCTAGTACGTTATCCGTAAATATTTCAAATGTAATTAGAAGCAGACTTCAGATTTGATTCCTCCTCGGCTGGATTTTATCGTATCGAGAAGAGAAACGGGACAGACGACACCGATGGATATAGACGAAACGAATCCACTCTCGATTTGAGTGAATCAACATCGGGAAGAGTAACGACGATGAACCCATTCTTTCCCTCAGCGTCGATGATCTAATTATCTCTCCGCGCCAACCAGCTAACTCTTGTGAACTGCGCTGAGATATCAAGTTGTGCGGTGGTCACCGCGGAATTCGATAATCGTTTTCCTTTTTTTCTTCTTCTCTCTCCTTGTCGCGGTTCACTTTTCTAATGAAGCAACGCTCGTTCTCTCCCTTCCTAACGAGATCTTCTCCCTCTTTGCGCGTGTCTCCCGACAAAGCGGGGGTCAAATAGCAAGAGTGGAAACAGGATTGGTCATCCCTTTAAATCCTACTATCTTCGCTCTTCCTGAATATCCGATCCGCTGTTTCGTCTATTTTTCTTCGTTTGTAATTTAAGCTCGGATACGAGATCTACTCTATTCTTCGACGTTCCCTTCGCTATAGAGTCTTCTCCTCCGTGGTACGCTGACGCGACTCGCGATAACGCAAACCGAAGCTGTTTTCATCGGTCGCAACAACTGCAGCGACCGAACAAACTCTTTTTTTTTTCTTCAAACGATAACGCCTGTCCGTGATTTATAGACGTTGATAATGGGGATCGGCTGTGTAACGTGGTGTGTAAGCGGGGCCAGCGTCTTGGAAAGCACGCTGTTCTGTCTGGTATCGCCGTGAAGACATCTGGACTGTACATATACGTATACGCATGTCGGCGATCGTCGAAAGTCCGAATCACGTGCAGACGGGGGAATGTAAATTCGAGAATTACGTGGCCGGCCGGAGGGTAATGTTCAATCTTTGTCAGAGTAGAGGGCACACGAGAGCAGAGAGATTCGTCGGATACGTGGACGTCGTAAAAGCATGAATTCCTACGGTCGCGTTCCTCAAATACGAGACGGGAATTCCTGAACGTGTAAAGTGAACGAGTTGCGTTTGTCGCACGCCTGTCTGTGATTAATCGCCGTTTCGGTTAACACTTCACGCGTGTTGCACACGCGAAAGAAGAGGTTAGGTGGACGAGAGATGTAGGTATACTTGAAAACGAAAGGATACGTTCCTTGTGAATTAGAAGTTCTGGAGGAATAGGGTATTCTAGGGTAACGTACAGGAGGAAGAATTTCCGGCGGCAGTGAGCAAAATAGAGCAGAACGGGAGTCGTAGAAAGTGAAATAAAGGACAGCCAGGGTCGTAGAAGGCAAAATAGGACACATCGGGGGTTTTAGAAGATAAAGCGAATAGCTCCGGGCTCGTAAAGGCGAAGTGGAACATTCTGGTGTTTTACAGGCTGAAATAGTTAACACTTGGAGTACACAAGACGAGCTAGCCGATATCAGGTTCAAGGAACTTCAGGTTGATGAGATTCTTGGTAGTTAAGTGAGACCATTTACAACGGATGAGGCCTCGAGTTTTACGATTCTGAGGTCCCCGGGGTCTCCCAGTTCGATGGGCTCAAGGTCCTCAAAGCTTGACCTCTAGTCAGAGTTTTAAAAGCTCGAGGATCCTGGAAATACTAAAGATCTTGTGAGTTTGCAATTCTTGGACTTTAGGTTCTACGATACTATGTTCTGGAGATCCTGAAATTTAATCTCAAAAATCTCGAGGCTCTCGATACTATAGGCAAGAGTTTCCAGGATTTTTAAATTCTGGAACTTTGAATTTTAGGATTTCTGGATCTTGGAACCTTGGTTTCGATGATTCAGGTAATGGAACCTGAGGTTTCTGAAGATCACGAAAATCTTGCAGCTCTCGATACTCTAGAGATCCCAGAATTCTTATAAATTAGGATTCTTAGACCTTGGTCTCTATGAATTTACAATCCTGAGACCTTGGTCTCTGTGAATTAGACTCACGAATCTTGAAACTTTCAAAAAAGATATCCCAAAGATCCCACGATTCTGGAATCCTAGGATTTCCAAAATCTTGGGACTTAGATCTTGATGATTCCAAAATTCTGGCACCTGGAACTTCCGCAAACATTCCAAACGAACCGTGGAGTCTTATAATCTCTAATTCCATGGCCCCAGAATTCTAAGACCTTAATCTTCATACCTCCTGGGTCATAGAAAGCCTTGAGCTTTCGGAGATCTCAAGATCTTTGACACTACGGAGCTTCTACGACCACAGAGTCAGGTTCTTGAGGTCTTACGACCTCAGAGTGATCTGACTGGATTCTCTCGAACCAGGATAGCGGTATTCGAGGATCCAAGACTCTCCCGATTATCCAACAAGTCCCACGAACTCTAGTTGATCCTACACATCTCTCACGTCACTGGTATTTTGAGAAAGGATCGTCTGAAATTACTTGGAAAAATTTTGCGACAGTCGTTGACTCGAGGAATGTCATAAAACACTTAAACAAAATATATTTTCATTCAAAGCGAGGTGTATTTAACTATTAATATTTACCTGATTCCAAGAACAAAAACTCTGTTACAACAGCTCCGAAACCTCCCCTTTCGCATATGTATCCACCCCGTAAAAATGTGCATACAGAAACAGACAAAGCTCTGCATCGCTGTTATTCCATTTCAGGCGGCTTTTTGGGCGACATCGCTTTGCCGAATATCAAATACGAGACAGAATGGAGACAGCAAAAGCTCAACAAGAGTTACCTCGAGGAGCTCGAGAAGTACCGAGACGAGGTCCTGAAAGAGGGTCTCCAGGTCGAGGAGGAGGGTCTTACAGGTAAAAAAAAAAAAAACGAAACTTTTCTTCCCTTTCCTCCATCGGAACGAACTTTTCTCTCCACGTTCGAATCCCATCTACACGTAACAACGTACGAATCCCGACAGTGTGTGCAAGCGACAGGTGTCGTTTCAGAGATCCTTCAATTTAAAAATGAGCACGACGCTAACGAGGCGCATCAGGAGAACGAGGAGATGGTGGCTTCTCAAAAGAAATCCGAACCAATTATGGTGGACCGGAATCAATACAGCATGGACGGCGAGCTAGAGGGTGGATTCAGTTTTAACGCGAGGAACGACGACGCCAGGCCTGGGGTGAGGGACGAGGGCGTTGAATTCAGGTAGAGGCGGCCTACGAAACTTCCACGCGAGAAAATTACGCGCACGTTGCCAGCGTGACGATGAACCGAGTCATTCGCGACTATCTAACTACAAGATATGTGTGCCGTATCATGTCATTTTAAAGGGCAATTTTTTTCCTTTTTCCGCTTACTTTCTTCCCCTCTTCCATAAAGAGCCAACACGGAGAAATTAATTAAAACGAGATCCGGTGAAAAAAAAATACCGGTTCGCGCCTTGTCGGAAAAATGTCTTTTTCTTCTTTTTCAACGTCGATCCTTTTTAGGTCAGCTCGCGTTCGTATGTTAATTTTCTCCGTGTAATTTTTATATTGTACAATTGTTCGAAATGTGTCCTTTTTGTTTGTTTTCCCTACGAAGATCAGGATGAAATTTATTTTTCCATAGTACTTTAGCGTTTTTTTGCTTGTTTTGTTAGGGGATTGAATTATTTGGTCGGTAGTATCTATTGTTGGGAAAAAATCGGCCGAACGGTTTGAATTAACGACAGGAACGAAAATAAATTTATCTGGGAAGCAACGAAACGAGGCGATACAATGGCTGCACGCGCGATGCCAATTAAAAATATTAAGGTGACTTTCGTATCTGCAATATTAATTAAAGGCGGTCGATATATAATGCGTATTGCGCTCGGTTTGCGCGCTTGTCAGCGTTATGGCGCGTGCACGTGTAGCTTTTTTTCTGGTTTACTGTCACGCTGGAAATATTGCTCAAGCGTATATCAAGATGGAAATTCTTTCGAAATTTCCCGATCAATTTTCCAGTATTTCTTGCAACAACGCTTAATTTCTAATTGGAAATTAGAGAAATTGTATCAAATTATCTGACTTCAAAATTCGAAAATAAAACGTTCGCTGTACTTGAAAAGTCGGTTCGTTTGAAATTTCATTTGAAACTTTAGGTTAGAGTCGACGACGCCGCCGCCGAAGAAAAGACATTCCGGTCGAAAACAAGGGCACCAAGCTCCGCAAACATCGTCGAACGTGAACGCAACAAAATCGATGCAGACATTTTTGAGGACGTCTCAAGAGTTGAACGCATTTCCAACGACCACCATGAGCACGAGTCAAATGAAAGATCTGAACGCGGAAAACATCGAGGAAGTGTTCACCATCCAGCCAGAGAGCAGCACGCAGAACATATCGAAGCGTCGTCATCGTCGTCATCATCGCAGAAGGTACGAGTTAATTAATTTCGATTGATTAATTTTAGATCAATTAGGAAACGTTCGACAAATTTTTTTTAATATCAGAATTTCCTGTCGAGCGATAATTTAAATACGATAAAAATAAAATCATCGGTGTACAATAAATATCGTAAATAATGACAGAGAAATAAGAATCTCAATAGTTAACGATATTTAAATAAAAAATGAATTCAATAATTAAGGAAATTTAAATAAGAAATAAATTCAATAGTTACGGAAATTTAAATAAAAAATGAATTCAATAATTAACGAATGTAGAAGTTTGATCTATATAAAAAACAGAAGAGTGAAGAAATTATTGACGCTTTTTATTTCCGATAAACAAAGCGTGTTCCATTTCCGCGAGGCAAGATACCACCACCACTCAAATCTCGGTGTACAAACAAAGGCGTAAAAAATTGTAGAAAAGGCAGCCACGATAAAGAGAAGAAGAACGTCGTCGCGTTTCAGTAGCGTATAGCGAGTTCGGCACAATTCCGCGGAGCAAACACATTTGTCAAGGGAACTTATTGTCAGATCGATTGGAAAGGGTTTAGGTACTAGTAGAAATTTACGATGCTTAGACGTTCCACCGGATGTTGGTATTCGATCAACGTACTTACCGGTGCAGATGGGGAAGCTCAAAGTGTTAGAAATTAACGTGCTTTACATTTTCGTTCAACCCTATCACGCTCGCTGAATGCGGAACATACGACTGATGCAAGTTGGATTTTTTCTCTCTTTTTTTTTTCAATTTTCAAGAAGAGTTAAAAAAAACGTGGAAACGTACGCTGTGGAATTTTCGTTAATTTGCAATACAATCGAATATTCATATTCAATGCTTGTTTTTTTATTATTCCATTTGCACGAATTTAATAATTCTTTTATAATCGACAAAACTGAATTTCATCGTTCACAGTAAACTTGAGTAAACTCTCTGCGAATTGAAATGGTACTTTTTTCTAATTACTTTTCTAACCGAACGACTCACAAATTCAAGAGTAATCGAAAACTCAGGCTAACACAGATTTTTCCAGTTTAACAAGTTATTTACTAAAATTACTTTCCTAACAGACCAGTCCACGAACAATCGAGAACTCTGAATCTCGCCTCGCGCAATAAAACGAAGCTATATGTCAAGCTTTCTTCTTCTTTTTTACTAGAATTACTTTTTAACAGGTCAATCCACAAATTGACGAACAATCGAAAGCATTGAATTCCAGGTTTGAAAATAAAATTACCAAGGTAATATAACCTCTAACAAAAGACCTCGGAGGCTGAAGGACCCATTTAAAAGTTAAAAAAAGAACCGTACTCTATTTCCGATAGAGGAGTGATTAAGTGTATTGCCGTGCTCGATAATAGAGTTCGCTCTTTTAACTCGCACCCTCCCTATCATCAACAATTTTCCGCTGGTAGGGCTGCTATGCCAATAACAATGGTCGTCATCGTAAAGCTGGAAAATGGGGACCGATACTGCCGGCCGGCCGGGCATTTTCAGCCCTTGAACTGCCAATAACCTGTCAACATCGGCACTAGTGTCTCTGACCAGCTGCGGATGTGTTTGTATATAGATTATGCACGTCTCTCCTCTGCTGAAAAAGTGGGTGGGAGGACGTTATTGGAAAAATGTACTCGAGAAAAGCTTTTTTTTTTTTCTTTCTCTCCTACCCTCTCATTTTCTCTTCCTTTTCTTTCGTCGATACCTCCGTGAAACTGCTTCTTTTATGTTAACGTCGACGAATCCGTGAAATCGGGCGTGTATTGAAAAGCGGAGCTCTCCGCGTTCGATCTACCTGTACCTGCTGGGGTAAATATTTCACCGATATTTCAAAAGAGAGCGACTAATTAACGTTTAACAGACAAGCGAGAACGCCGGGTGTATAAATAGAAATTCATCGGTATTATAAAATTTTACAGCGAACGTTTTCTTATTTGATCGTTACAAAGAGGCGAGTTTGTGAAATTGATTCGGTGGTCTTCGTCTGATAAAACGACTAAGATTTAACGAGAGAAATTAGAGCGACGGTAAGGAGGAAAGAATTTTCGGAAGGAACGAGTTTCGCGACGATTAATCACAAGGATTCGTTTCGCGATTTTCTTGCACGTTTCTCTGCCAGCGCAACGTTCACAACTCAGCAGGTTTTGGCGCAGTCCTTCCGTTCCCTTTCCTCCTTGAAACAGGCTTACGAAAGCGTTTGTTTATGGCCTGTATCCGACACCATGAAACACGATCGTACTGTGATTCTGCAATGAAGCTTCAGAGAATTCTGGAGAGGATCAAGCAGGACCTGATACCTTTGACGCGGTTAAGCCCTGTATCCGCAGAAATTTCTGCCCACATTTCCGCCTCGCTCCCTCCAGCTGTGCGCCCCTTAAATCATTACAGAGGACGGTGAAATTTCATTCTACATATTTCTGATATTTCCTTCTCTAATTTCTCCTCGTTCGACGATTCGTACTCTGCAGATTTTTTCAGCTATCGACCGGAGAACCGAGAAATTTAATAACGCAGGAAATAAGGTAAGCTAACAAGTGCGGGAAACTTATTACCGTTAACCCTGGGAAGTCCAAACTTTTGGAAGGTTTAACTTAATTTCAGTGGGGAAAAAAATGAACATGTGTTTGCAGTTATTAAATACAATTATTTTCTAACTCGGAAATAAATTATTGGTGATCTACAAAAGTTATTTTACAACGAAAACTGGAGTCTAAAACTTGGCGAACATTTCTCGATCCTCCCCTATTCTTACGCTCAATACAAATGGCTTCCTCTAGATAAATCATAAGACAATTAATTACAAGAGCGTCTTTATTCGAATTACCACGCAATTATTGAACGCAGGAATTCCAATTAAGAAAGCGAGCGCGAAGGCATTAATTACACAGCGATAAGGAAGTTTTGAACCGCTTCTTCGTTCCGGTGAAGCCGTGTGGCTGGCGGGATCGTTCGTGCTGTAAATTTCAGTGGGCTTCGAGTATCGAGTAAAAACGAGCAGCGGACCAAAGACGCATTAATTTCACCTCCGTTCCAATCTAATCGTGGCTTAAAGCGCTTTTTTCTGCCCCCCTCCGCAGGGCTGAAGGTGATCCACGAAGGTGATCGTGCCACGAGGTCTAAATTCATCCCTATCGATCCTCCTTTCTTCTCTCTTTGCCTCAATCTTCATTTCTTTTCCCTCTAACAGCTCTTACACCCTTCCTTCTCTCTCTACCATTCCTATCCCCGTTCGACTATCCCCGGCAAATGAAGAAAGGCAAAAACAGGGTGGAAGTGGTATAAACCGATGGAGAGAAGACGGGCGAAAAAATGCCACGGAATGGAGAAAGATGGGACTCGAGAGTGATTTATCGCGATCAGCTTGGAGAAAAATTTCGTATTCAGCGAATACGTCCGGTTCGATCGGTAGTGGATCGTTCCCCGTAACTCATCATTTCTCTCACTGTCCTCCGTGACTTCCGTTCTTGCGCGCTTCCGGTTGCATCTCCTCTTCCCGCGACGCTGATAACACGGCCGCGAGATTATCGTGCTTGTTGTCTATCCCAGGGACAGTCGGATGGACGTGTGAAAGGAGATAAATATAAGGCGCGTTTCGATGGATTCGATTAAAAAGCAGGCTCGTGTATGTACATGTGCGTGCGTCAGCGGACGGCTCGATAGAGTGAATTCGACGTCCGTGGAGAATACGAAGAGTTGATGGATTTATTTTTGCATTGCAATCTCTTCTATTTTTCTTCTTTTTTTTTTCTTTTTTGTCTTGCTTCTTTGGTAGTTCGTTAATACGGCGTTATTGGTGAATAATTGAACGGTGGGTTTGGGTAGTTAAGTGTTACTTTTTGACGCGTTTGCTGGGAGCGACTGATAGGTATGTGCGACACGTCAGTTCTCGTGACAAACTGATGTCACGCGTATATTCGTGACGCGTCATGTAAAATGCATAGTCCGCGTATTTACTACAAATTGGGTGCGCGTAAGTGTAAGCATGTGATGTATTCGGGAGAAACAGTAAAAATAGCAATTTCAGAGCGTGCAATTTTGTTTAATTATTTTCTTTCGCTTTCTGTGTCGCGCCATCTTTCCTATTCTACGGCAAAAATATAAGTTACAGCGTTGTAAATAAATGGCAAACTGATTTCTATACGTCTAGGAGATAATTAGAGAAAAATAAAATGGATCACTCTTGGCACATCAAATTGAGAAAAAATGATTTATCGAAACGTTAATAAAATCCTGGTGCAAGAATAAGACACCTTCTGCTACGTTTTCTCTTTAATTACCCGAAGAAAACGAATCGAATTTCTCCCTACGATCGAAGAACCACAATTTCTTCCACGATCCAACGAACGACAATGCAAAACGCTTACAAAGCCTCGCGATTCATTCAAACAACCACTTCGCTCGTTAATTAATCCGGTAAAGTAATCGCGCGAAACGACGTAACAAATCACAGAAAGGCTAGGCGAGGGCGTGGGAGGGTTCGCGATTGACGTTAATATCGATATGTATTCGACGCGCGGAGCTTTATTCCGCCGCGATAAGTTATATCAGAGGTCGGTGACAGTGGAACCGCGTGGAACAAACGGGCCCGCGTCGAAAATATTCGAGGGCTCGAAGCAGAGAAAGATCGAACCGCACGTGTACACTATATACACATACACGTGCGATTGCCGCGTTTTCATTGTCGCGTCGTTGCTGGTTTGATTGATGAAAAATCGTGATTCGTTGAATTCCAAACGGTTCGCTGAATTATTTCAATATGCCCCGGACACTGATATATTATATTGTACTTTATTGCTTGCCTATGGTTAAAAGGGGTGTGTGGAGGGATGGTTAGAATAGAGAGAGAGAGAGGGTGAGGTACGTTCATTGGGGAGAGATGGATGGACTATAGGAAGGGAGGTGGTGGTAACTAGCGCACGTCACGGCTAATCGAATGATCTATGCGTCTCGCGATCGTTTGATTGAAATCCACGTCGAGCCGACCGATGGT